AGGTTGACGCGCTGCTTAGCAGACAGCTTCGCGTTCGACTTCGGCCCTTGTGTGGGAGTCGTAGCGCCCTACGCAAGCGTACTGTTTCGGTCTTGCAGAGTTCCCTATACGGCCTGCAAGCCCGTGAGTGTCGCACTGTGCTGCATCTTGGGTTAATAAACCCGTTGTTGTTATCCTGCCTCGTGCGTGGTTTCTGAGCCGTGCTGGAGAAAACGACGAACCCGGCCGCAACGTCTTCGCACGCAGCGGCAGTGGAGGACATCGCATCCCTACACGGTTGCGCATAGTAGGTAAGCCTTGTGCAAACCTATCTCCACAATCTTTAAGGCCCCATGGCAGAGGCAACACACCCCTGTGGTAGGGTGGCTAGAATAGGAAGGTGTGATGAGCCATGTCCGTGGAAAAAGGGATCCTGGGGTTCAAGACGATGCTGGTTGATTAGACATTTAAGGCCCCCGGGCAGAGGCAACACACCCCTTTGTTAGGGTGGCTAGAATGAAGAGGTGTGTCGAGCGCAACCCTTTTCACTTGCTGGAGAAGGTCGTTTGGAGCGCCAATGCCACTATAGGCGCTAATGGCAGCGGCGCGGGTAGCGAGCGGCGCACTTCCCAAGGCTTTCCTCAGGTGCGCTGCATTATTTATTCTTCACGGTTGGTAGCTGCTTTACAACTACTTCGTCAATCGGTGCTTGTGCTGGGTTTTTCTGAAGTGCCTGAAGATGTCAATGACATAAAAGAAGACCTAGTGTCGCTGCATTGCACCTGGCAGCAAACTTGATGCCTCAACTCGGCCTCTTAAACAGTCCCAAGGGTGGCTGACTTAGTGGAGGAATCTCTTCTGTCTGTAGAAACAATGCTGCTTAAGACAGAATAAGACCAGGAAGACTTCGATAGACTTCCATCTGATGCACTAGCAGTGATAGACTTCCATCTGATGCACTAGCAGTGTTGTCGCTCACGAATTGTACCCTGCCTGAGCCAGCGGATGCTCGCCCTGTATATCATGTGGCAAGCTATGCTGCAAGAAGTCTGGTATTCGTAACAAACGTGACGAGTGAAAGAATGCCCGTCGTATTTACAGTGTTGGCAGTAACTCGTTATAAGTAACAGTGGTGTAGCACGTTACTTCGGTAATGTAGAAATGGAGCTGTTGCTGAAATTCTGCTAGTTGTAGTTGTCAGGGAGTCGTTCCTGCAACACGATAGTGCTGTTTATCAGTTCCATTTCCATAACAAAATTTGCTTCTGCTGATAATACAAGTCACCGAGCATTTGTTTGATACATGGGAAAGCAAGGCTCTTCTTGAACACCTTTACATAAAGAGTGGCAATTTCACGGTTCTGTGTAGTTTAAAGGGGCGAAAATTATTTACACTGCAAATATCTTTTTCCCACAAGCTAAATAATTTAGCCATTTTTTTTTACTCGTGCAACGGCTGCCCTGCCACGGTAGTCTAGTGGCTAAGGTACTTGGCTGCGGACCCGCAGGTCGCGGCATCGAATCCCACTGATGGAGTTTAAAATGTTGTAGGCCCGTGTGCTCAAATTTGGGTGCACGTTAAGGAACCCCAGCTGGTTGAAATTTCCGGAGCCCTTCTCTACGGCCTGTCTCATAATCATATGGTGGTTTTGGGACGTGAAACCCCACATATCAATCAATCAATTCGTGCAACGCCTGCGCTCATGATGCACTATCAGGTGCAAGCTGTCAGAATTACTGTAAATTTGTTGAGATCAGTGATAATTTCTTTGCAGAGAGGGTTGATAGTAAAATATTATTTCTGCTTTCTGGAACAACAAGAAATGGATTTAACATGTGCCACAACGTTATACGCCATCACATCCAACTCTCCGGTGCACATTAGGCCACTGTCCTATACGTCTGGCATCTTGTGCAAAGTTTCCTAGTTACATTAGTAATTCACCTAAACTAGCTAGTTTGTTTTGTCAGAGCCGTCATTTCTTTTCTTTAAGAGGTCACGGGAGTAAAAGCCCGAATAATTGACGAGGTATCGACCCGGTCACAAGTTGGCGAAACACCAATACACGACAGACATTCATACATGTAGAATACAAAGTAATCTTTACAAGTATAACATGACATCAAGTATGTAATACAAAAGTTATTGAAACAGAGCGAAGAAATACATATGTATAGTCATGACGTGGCATGAACATGAAAAGCAAAAATCAATTAGAAGGAATGACCGAAATTCCAGGAGATGTACTACCAGGAATGTACTATTCGGAAAAATAAATGAGCTGGGCAAAGCATTTGGTGTAACGATTTTGATTAGATGAAGAATTAAAATCTTCATAGTTTAAGATGGTTAGCAGGTAAGGTAGCCTGTAGGACAATGATTATTTGTCATAAACAGTTCTAGGGGAAGGTGCAATCCACATTTCTTCGTGGCTGTGAGACGAACTCATGGGTCAACATTTAGCTTAGCTAGATTAATTATGGTACTGGAACCATGTTTAATGAATGCTTTATGACATGTCGAATATACATAAATACGAGGTTTCTTAAAATGTTATTCTGGCTCCCGCAGCGAGGGTGCACTGATTCACACTTCTGATCTTGGAGTATGATAGAAGAAGACATGAGTGATTTTTACTTCGGTAATGGTACCCCGTTGCCTATTTTGTAGGCAACGTAGGGTGGTAACGCGATTTTTACTGTTAGCGTAGTGAGTAACTTATGTGGTTACCTTTTTTTTTTTTTTGGGTAATGCATACAAAGTTGCTTGTTTCTAAAGTAAATGAACCAAGAAATGTCCCAGCCCAGGCAGAAGCGGTATCTCTGGGGAGCTTTGTAGATCTGTCGAATTCTCTCGGTACAATGTCATTGCCTCACTCAGTCACACTTCCTTTTTTTTTTTTTTTGAAACGCATGAGCTGAACATGAGATGACAAAAAAGGGGGGGGGGGGGGGCAAATAGCTAGGCTGTGAGTGTTGTAGTGCATGAACACCTGCCATGCTTGAAAATGACGTGTTACTGTAAAAACTGTTCGCATGTATGCTGTTGGAAACATGGTTATTGCGCACTTAGTGCGTGTCTAATACGAGTAACTGTACGCCGCTAAAACATTACATTCGGTGGCCGATAATTGAACGCTAAGTGAGTATTCAAGTTGTGACTTTGGAACAGCGAAATGCGGTTCTAGTATCAAAGGTCCAGCTTGTGGTTGTGTTTGAAAGGAGAGGTTATCACTGGCAGCCAATTAGGAAGGGCATGACACAATACCAGTGCATGGCTTGCACTGGGAAAGCTTGACTGCGTGGTGGCCACCCTGCTGCCATTTGCAGGGAACACGACACAGTCACCAGCAAACCGCGCTTTTCACCAATGAATAGAAGTCTATTATGCTTGTGCGTATTTTATTGCCTTAGAAGTTGCCAGCTGCGGACTACCATTTTGCCATGGCCCCCTGTGTTTCATGGAGCGCCGTCTTTTATCGAAGCTTCAGTCGCTGCAAATTGTTCGATTTTCAACGCCAAACTGAAGAAAGCCGTAATATCTCCATTGTATGCGCAGCTGACCACAAAATTATATTGTTGGCCAAAATACAGGCACTTGCCAAACAAGCGACATCATGGCTGGCTGGCAAAAGTGAGGCCAGCAGTTGAGAAAGTGCCGAGCACGGGGCCCAATTACGAAATCGCATTGTACTCTTGAAGGCAAAGCTTAAGTATTCTCCTAGTTTTTCGTCTAATTGCGTGAAAGCCAAGCCCAAGAGCATTTGTAGAAACTGAGGAGCTTTGAGACAAATAATGCTCTCCATAAAATGCGATTAAAAAAAAATTACGGCATATTCACGGGGTGAATGATGATGAATGGGCGAAGCTCCGGAGGGATTCATCGGTAAACTGTGAATCTTCCGTGTAATTCGCCCAGTCGATCATCATGTAAAGACGTGAGAAACGCTGTGTGTGTATATACACAAATCAACTTTTATTTGTTCTTAGACGATGGATGGCTTGCGATGTCCCTTGCCTCGCGGGCTCGCACATCGGGATTCTGTGTGCGAGCGCGCGCTGCTGCTGCCTTGCGCTCTCTCCGCTGTGCAGCCTTATTCATCCGGCGACTCCGAGCGCGCGCCAACAGCGAACGGATTTTATTACAACGCTCCCCCTAGCGTACGTCGCCGCACTAAATCGAACGATTGCCTTCAACCAATGACACGCGCCATATGTGACATCATTCCTATTTTATAAGATCTCGCGTCTTTCATCAACTACAAGTACCGCTTTCTAGTTTATAACATCTTGCATCTTTTCATCATCAGCTACAAGTACCACCATCTAGTAAACACTACAAGAGCTAAACGAGAGGTGGCTACATACAGGAGACGGTACCGCCATCTAGTGAACACTGCAAGAACTAAACTAGAGGTGGCTACATACAGGGGACGGTACGGCCATCTAGTGAACACTGCAAGAACTAAACAAGAGGTGGCTACATACAGGCTACAGGGGACGCACAGCCCACGCCCTAAGGAGCTTCGCCCCTAAAAGCAATATCAATATCTTCTGTGTCTTGGCTTTCTAACTTTATTTCTGCATGGGTATATGCGTATGAGTTGTGCTCGCACGCATGAAAGACTTACATTCGGCTGGCTGCCACCACAGGTCTCCACTTAAACCACACGAATTTGATCTTGTGATTAATGATGGTGAGTTTTAAATGTCACTTGACACTTTATGCAGGTAGGGGCCTCATTGAATCACAAATGCACTTTTCTTGTCCAAGTCCACATAACTGGGTGTCAGTAAGAAAGGAACCTTGACTGCTCTTTGGGGCCTAAAACAACCTGTGCAGAAACCAGTTTCAGGTCCGTTGATGTAAACAAACACACATTGACAATTCCTTGATTGGTGTTCATGTAGTCCTATCAAGCCATGACTTTTGTGCAGCCCATAGCTGAAATAACTATAAATAAAAAGTGGATAAGACATATTTAGATCGCAAATCAGAGGCTCGTATTTATTTATTTGCAGCTTATTACAGCTCCATATAGAAGCGTACATGCTGCTGAAGAGGACCCGGACAAGGATGTTGACGACAACTGTATGTGAATCACTGTTTCCCTTATGCATGATTACCGCATTATGGATGTCGCCAATCATAATACCATGTGCGCATGAATGTGTAAGTAAGGGATGAAATGGGGCAGTTGGACCCTATTTCTTTCGGCTTCATGCTTTAAACAGGTGGTTTTCCCTTCCTAACAATTATTTCAAAATATTCAAGTAGTGTGCATAAATATTGCCACGCACGTTTTATTTTTCACTCTTGTTCCATTCGGTTTTCGCCCACAAAGCCTCTTATGAATGCTCAGCACTAACTGCCCATCATTGTTCTAGAAGGTTCATTGATTATTGTAGATCGTTCTGTTGAGATTGCTTGCAAGGCGCAAATACTTGAGGTTATTCCAGAGCTTGCGCTACGACCAGTGATAATAAGGCTAAAATATTTGACGGCACATGCATAAATGCCAACGCGCTGCACCGCTTGTCAGTTGACTGACGGGCGACACTCTGTTTGCCGCTATCAGTGTCAGTGTCTTGCTGTAATCTGACCTTCCTTTTATGTGGTCACATGTTTGGCCAAATAAAAAGTTTGATCTGAACATCGAGTCTGCTCCTTTCATCCACGACACGACCCCGTAAAATCTGGTGGAGGTGTTGCTTCTTTCATGTGGCAGACGCCCCCATCAAGCCGTGAACCCAGCTCAGGTCGCGGAGGAAACATGGACGCCAGCCACAAGCAGCGAGTTAGCCGCAGGCAACAAGCTCTACCAGTGCAGTACAAGCTTCTACCCAACAAGACTCGCAAGACCAAGACTTTGATGTCGACCACAGTGACAATGACAGTACCAATCCTGCTCCGACAACCCAAGGAGCCACCAACTTTCAGCGGTTTGCCACTCGAGGTCCCAGAAAGCTGGCTTGAAAGGTTAGACCGAGTCGCCCTTTTGAGATCAGGTGGTGGACATGCCTGAAACCTGCGCTGCTGCTTGCAGTCTGGCGCCCTCGCAAGTTCTGGTCGCAACCAGATGTGTCGGCGCGAGTGATGGTTCCTCGTGCTGACACCCACGATACTGTTGCGGGACCGGTACTAATGTGGAGTCATCTAGCCCGACAGTCCAGCAGTGTCGACCGGCGGCGAGGTTGTGGCGCAGGGACATTATTAGGGTTATGTGTAGTCATCTTTTGTTAAAGCTTGTTTAGCTAATTTTTTTTGTCCAAACAAAACAAGAGATTTAACAGCCTTTACAATGACGATATCGTCAGCCGCATGAATACATCGCTTTTAAAGAACACGCTAATTATACAATCTTCCATTACACTCTTTCAAACATAAGAACAAACACAAGCTAGCGCAAAGGCAGCACTGGTAATGCTCGACTCACCACGGTAAACAACCCACGGTGCCGTCCACCTATGGACCCATCGCGGGAGACTTCCGTTCGCGCCAGCCACCGCACGCCAAAGAGCACCGCTCTGTGCCGCTAGCCAGCATCACCGTCAGGCGTTGCTGCTGGCACTATTGCGCTAACCATGATAATGATAATAGTGACAAATGCTCACGAGCGCAACGCTACCTGCAGCTCAATTGCTGTTATCCCTAAACACGGCTTATCTGCGGGACACGTGTGCACCACAAGGCACAAACGACTTTACAGGAGGTAATAGCACCCTCACACACGTCACTGCTCTCGTCGATACTGGAGCTGACTATTTCGTCATCAGTGAGCCTTTGCCAACGAAGTTGAAGAAAGTGACGGCTGCATGGCAAGGCCACAAAAACTCGAACCGCTGGAGATAACTTATTAACACCAACTGGAGTCTGCACAGCAAGAATCCCCATCAATAACCAGACTTATCCTGCGAGCTTTGTATTCTTACAACATTGCTTCAGGGGTGTGATACTTGGGATGGACTTCCTAAGTCAATACGGCGCTGCCAAGGAATCATGCATTGCGCTGCAAGATTAAGTCACCATTCTGTCTTGCTCAAGCTTCATCGTTTCCATCGGCACTGAAACACCCACAGACTTTGACGGTGTCATCAAGGACAATAAGCACTTGTTCCTTAGCCGCCAGAATTGTGTTGCAAGAGTCATCACCAAGCTGAGTCATGGGAAAGCGAAGGTAATGGTGACAATCTTTAGCCATGAATACAGCCACCTCAACAAAGGTACTACGGTCGCCTGCATCAACAAAATTATGGAAGCCACTAAAGTTTTCACCCTCGCCGATTCTACAGAACCTACTTCGAGGAACTAAGCTCCTCATGCAGCTTTCAACGTCAGTCGGAGCCTTCCAAAGTATATGCAAGAACAGCTCAAGGCCCTGCTCCTGCAATACAAAGACTGTTTTTCACTGTCGCCGAAAATTCGGTAGACCCCAGCAGTGAAACATCACATTATAACAGAGGGAAGTGTCAGATCGCTACGCCAGAGCTTGTACAGTTTCGACGCGAGAACTTGAGGCCGTGAGCGTCACCTGTGGTGTTAGCGAAGAAAAAGGATGGAACCCTACGTTTCTGTGTCGATTAGTGCCACCTGAACAAGGTCACAAAAAAAGATGTTTATTCTCTTCCACGGATAGACACCCTGGATCGAGTACACAATGCGCAGTATTTTTCGTCAATGGACTTCAAGACTGGCTATTGGCAATTTGAAGTCGACGAGAGACGCAGAGAGAAGACGGCGTTTGTACCAGGTGGCCTCTTAGAATCCAAGATCATGCCCTTCGGTCATTGCTCGGCACTTGCGACTTTTTTCGATGCGTTTATGGATACAGTACTGGATAGAGGCTGGATTGAAGTGGCAAACTTGTCTCGTGTATTTGGACGACATCGTGTATCCCTCCGATCTTGACCTCCGGCGCCTTGAAGCTGTCCTTCAAGCAATCAGGAGCTCTGGACTCGCCCTAAAACCAGAAAAGTGCCGCTTCACGTACGAGAAGCTCTTGTTCCTGAGCCACGTCATCAGTAAGTCCAGAGTTCGCCCGTGGAAAACAGCTTTCATCGCCACCTTCTCACCGGCCATTGAAAAGAAGACCATGCATTGATTTCTTGGCCTGTGCACCTATTACTAGTGGTTCGTCAAAAACTTCGCCCGTATTGCCAAGCCACTCACCAACCTTTTTAGTGACTGACGTCGAATTCTACAGACATGCTATTGTGCGATGCAACAGGTTACGTAGCATCCACCTTGTAAAACTAAATCTCATAAAAATTTATTCAAGCGGGAAACGCCGCAGAAAAAGCATTTTAAGAAGTAAAACGGTGCCTGCAGATGCCGCCGATACTTGCGCACTGCAATGAGTACGTCGACAAGGAAATCCACATCAGCGCAAGCAGTGGAGGGCTCGTAGCCGTCCTAGTGCAGAAGATTGATGGGCTTGAAGGCTCATCAGTTATGCGGGCTGGTCACTATATAATGCAGAAGCCAACTACTCCAAAACAGAAAAGGAGTGTCTTGCCATAATCTGGACTATATCGAAGCTTCTACCCTACATCTACGGCAAACCTTTCAAAGCTGTGAGCGACCACCAGGCCTTGTGTTGGCTATCTAACGTGAAAGACCCTTTTGGTCGCCTCGCAGGGGGAGCCTCAGACTTGAAAAATTCAATGTGACGCCGACTGCCTCTCGCTTGCTCACAAGAATACAGGAAATTTACTACTGGCCACAACTTGCCACCGATGTTACTCGTTACGCCAGAATCTGCCGAGACTCAGCGACCAAAGACACTGCTGACTAGGACAACCAGGCTTCTCGAGCCACCTCGCTGGCTATTTTCAGCAAATAGGCATGGATTTACTGGGGCTGTTCTCTACGTCGAATTATGGGAACTAATGGATTGTCGTAGCTACTGACTACCTCACGCACTACGCAGAGGCAATGGCCCTGCCCTAGAGCAGTGCCTCCGAGGTAGCAAAGTTTTTCCCTGAGAACCTCGTCTTGCATCATGGTGCCCCAGAGGTCCTCATCACCGACAGTGGGAAGGCATTCAATTCTTACCTAACTCGGGCGACTTTGGCACAGAGCCAGACAAGTCACCAATGGAGGACAGCATACCACGTAGAGGCCAATGGCCTCACCGAGCGGCTAAACACGACCATCGCCGACATGCTGGTCATGTATGTCGACGTCAAACACTAGACCCAGGAGGCCATCACCCTCTACGTCACCTTCGCGTACAACACGTTCGTTCAAGAAACAATGCAGATCAAGCTGTACAAGTTGGTCATGAAAGGAGCCCAACCACGACGCCTGACGCTATGTTGCCAAACGTCGCTGACAAAGAAAACCTCAATGTCACCATATTCCTTCAGCGCGCTGAAGAAGCTCGTCAACTCGCCCACCTGCTCATCAAGACTAGGCAGACGACTGACCGCCACCGTTACACTCGTTGACTAAGCTTCGTGGAATACCAGCCCGAAGACCGTGTTTGCGTATGGACGCCGATACGCCGATGCGGCCTCAGTGAAAAATTTCTGCGATGGTACTTCTGACCGTACTGAGTTCTTCGATGTCTCAGCACACTTGACTACGAGGTTGTCCCCGGTGGCATCACGAACTCTCAACAGCAACGTGTGCGATCTGAAGTCCTGTATTTCGTGCGCCTCAAGCCATTTCATGCTTGTTAATGAACCTAAGGATGTTGTTGTTTTTTGTTATTTCTTCATTATTGTGCTTTATTGCTTGCATTTGCCTCTTACAGTACTTTCTTATTTTGTTATTTTGACTGTCCGTGAATTTTTTCCTTGTGTTTTGTTTTAAGCATTGGGCTGATGATTTTTCAGAAGGGGGCAATGTCATGCGCATTTATTTTTCACAGTTGTTTCATTCAGTTTTCACCCGCAAAACCTGTTAGGAACGCTCAGCGCAAATTGCACCTCATGTTCGAGAAGGTTCGCGATTATTGTAGATAACGCTTTTAAGACTGCTCGCAATGCGCAAACACACGAGATTATTATTCCAGAGCTTGTACAACGACCAGTCATAAGGCTGGAATATCCGACGACTCATGTATACATGTTGACGTGCTTCGCAGCTTGTCAGTTGACTGTTGGCCCATGCTCTGTTCACCGCTATCATTGCAAGTGTCTTGCTGTGATCTTACTTTTCTTTTATTTGGCCCAAGTTTGGCAAAATAAACAGTTTCATCTGAAGATCCAGTATGCTCTCTTCGTTCGTCTCACAACCCGTGACAATATGCATTCGTGTGTACGAGTGTTAGGTGTGTGAAATAGTGTGCAATTTCAAAAAGTATGCAACCTAAATAGGTTCCAGCTCTCAAAGTTGTTTGAGGTACTGTTCTCCTTGTTTTGAGTCTCGCGCATGCAGTTATATAGAGATTTTTTTTTTCATCTGATTGTGTTAGGATCCTATTTTGCGGTTGGCCATGAAGTACAATATTATAAGAGCATCAAGACTACAGATTTGTGGCAAGGGCTTGGAATTTTGCCCATTCTTGAATTTTTTCATAAAATATATTGATCTATCTTATGTAAATGAAATGGTGGAAGACTGCATGATGCTCTTACTTCTGCACTAATGAATGAGATAACAGCAAGTGTTTCAAAGAGAATTTTTTCATTGCACCTACAAGGTACCAAAAGATTTGTGGCTCTATATAGGAATTCTACAATAGCACTAATTATTTGGGTGTCTTGGTGTAAAATGCAACTTGCTTCAGCAGTCTAATCTAGAATGCAAAATTATCTGCTCCAAAGTGCCCAGAAATGAACATTCTGCTGCTCTCATATTCGCTCCAAATAATAATTCCTTGTTGGCACTGCTGTATATTAAATTTTGGGTCATATTCCTACAATAATTACTAACAAATTTTTTTTTATGCAGGTGCCCTGATCTATTTGAATGAGGCGACCCTCTTCAACAACATTAAAGTTCGTTACAGCAAGGACAAAATCTATGTAAATATTTACTCCTTCTACCACATTTAATCTGTTCGTTCACTGCCACCTTTGGGCATGTTGGATGTGTCTAATTAGCAACAGAGAATGTTCACATTGTTATGCAGCCTGCTTTTAATTTTCTTTCTCGCTTTGCAGACATATGTGGCCAACATCCTCATAGCTGTGAACCCGTACTTTGAGATGCCCCATTTGTACTCATCAGAGACAATCGGGAAATATCAAGGAAAATCTCTTGGAGTGCTTCCTCCTCATGTGTTTGCCATTGGTGAGTTGCTGTGAAATCTGGCAGTCACGCATTTCGGATGGCAATAAGGAAGTCAGGAGACAGAAGTGGCGCAGTAAACACACTTTATCATGCAAAAATGGCAACGAATCAACAAATTTTGCAAATACACAAACCAAAACACAAAACAGGCACAGAAAAAAAATCAGGGTAGAAAACAAAAATGGCACTAGTTACGATTAACGCTAAGTTCAAGTCTAACTCAAGCCCCGCCGTGGTGGTCTAGTGGCTAAGGTACTCGGCTACTGACCTGCAGGTCGTGGAATCGAATCCTGGCTGCGGCGGCTGCATTTTCAATGGAGGCGAAAATTCTGTAGGCCCGTGTGCTTAGATTTGGGTGCATGTCGAAAAACCCCAGGTGGTCGAAATTTCCGGACACCTCTACTATGGTGTCTCTCATAATCATATGGTGGTTTTGGGACGTTGAACTCCACATATCAATCAAGAGCTACGGCAGAGAATGTTCGACAGCTCCTGTTCTTGGCCATTTGGATGAGGACGTTGCTACAGAAATTTACACAGATCCCAGCAATGTCGAACTTAGCGCTGTCCTTGTACAACGACATGGCGGCGTTGTGCATGTAACAGCTTACACCAGTCGTACCCTTTCTCGAGCGATCAACTATTCTACATCAGAGAAAGAATGCCTCGCAGTCATGTATGCGACGACTAAAGTCCACCCCTACCTCTAGAGTCATCCCTTCTAAGTGGTGTCTCACCACCACTTTTTCTGCTGACTGGCCAATCTTCGAGATTCATCTGGCCATCTCGCTTGGTAGAGTTCGCGCCTGCATTGCAAGAGTTCGTCATTACGATTGCGTACAGGTCTAGGCACAAACACGAGGATGTTGACGCGCTTCCTCGGCTTGTGCACGTAATATCACCCTTTTATCGCCAACTTCTGGAAGATAGCTAAACCTCTTGCACGGCTCACCTGAGATGACATGCCCTTTACTTGGACCCCAGAGCAAGATATAGCATTGACAGAGCTACGGCAGACCCCACCACGATTGTCTAGTGGCTAAGGTACTCTGCTGCTTACCCGCAGGTTGCAGGATCGAATCCCCGCTGCAGCAGCTGCATTTTCGATGGAGGCAATAATGATGTAAGCCCGTGTTCTCAGATTTGGGTGCATGTTAAAGAACCCCAGGTGGTCAGAACTTCCGGAGCCCTCCACTATGGCGCTTCTCATAATCATATGATGGTTTTAGGCATTTAACCCCACATATCAATCTGCTCTAACCCAAGTCCCGCATACATACCTGCCAACTCTTCGGAATTTTGACCTGATCTCCCAGTTGTATGAATGCTATCTCGAATCTCCCAAAATGGGGCTACCGCAGCAGAGGATTTCTTTTTAATTTTATTTTTAAATGTCGCACTTATGTCAGCTTTTCCTGCTGCGACAGTTGCGGTGCTCTGGAAGAGCACTTGCCACTACACTTCTAGTTCACCGCGACTATATTGTAGAGCACTACTAAGTACATAAGTACCACACATCTAGGCATTGATGGGAGAAGTACAACTTTTATTTCACCAAGAGGTGAGAGAAAAGGTACAACTACTTTTGCGTTGTGGGGTCTCGGAATAGAGCACGCCACTCTCTGAACGAACGGACACAGCAGATGCAGTCAGACCCATATTAAACAAAAACCTTTATTGAACTACTTTTACATTGACGATATAGTCAGCAGAATCAAATGCAGTCGAACACGATTATATCGAACTATTGGGTATATCGAACTTCTAAGTTATCCCCTTAAAATTTCTATGTAAATGTATAGAAATTTGCACGTCTATATCAAAAGGTATTTTTACCCCCCTTCGAATATATCCAATGCCGCGCCCCGCAATCTCTGCACTAGCGCGGCTCCACGCGCGAGTCGGAAGGCGGGTTTTCGCACTTGCAGCGCCCGGCGAGCTCCGTGCGGCACCACACCTCCACCAAAACCCAGAACACTCGAAAAAAGGTAAGGGCAAGAGAGCTCAAACTGCACATTCTCAAACTTGCGGAACAGCTTTTTTCTTTTTCTTTCTCTCTCTCATGCTTTCTCTGCGTACCCGTTGACCTGGAGAGCAAGAATGAAGAACCCGACGTCCTCCTCCTTTCACCTTTTTTTTAAAATTTTTTTCGTTGGTGTTTCGTGAGTTTTGATCAGCCAACCACAGCTGGGCTCGCACCTTTTGCTGTTGCCCTCGCAGGTGGCCGTTGCCTCGCGTATGCTTTTTTGCACTGCTCAGTGTTGCCCAAGAGGCAGACAGAAATTAGGTGCCTTCTTTCCTCCTTTCAAGAATCACTCAATCAATTGTCGAGCCGCCAACGTACCACCGCATGTGCAGCATTTCTCTTTTGCATGCATGGTGTACAAAGCCGCTGCAAATTCTTTGAATTTCCGACTTCTCGTGTAGCTATGGCTAGTGTCAAGAAGCGCAAGATCCTTGACTTTGTGACGAAGTTGAAAACTATTCAGCGTATTTAGGCGGGCGAAAAATGTTCGACCGTCGTGGACGACTTTGGGATGCCACGGGGCACTCTGGGTACTTTGTTGAAGAACAAAGCAGATATCAAGGCAAAGGTGGCAGAGCAGCAAATGTCGGAAGCCTGTCACGTGCGCGCTTCTGCCCACGGGAATGTAGTAAAAGCACTCTATGCCTGGTTTTTAGAAGTGCGTGCGAAGAACATTCTGGCGGATGGCCCAATTCTGATTGCCAAAGCCAAATGGTTTGCCACTGCACTCAGTGAAACAACTTCGCCGACAACACCGGCGTGTTTTCATCGATTTAAGCAGCGCAACAACATCGTTGGTAAAACCAATTCTGGCGAAAGTGAAGCTGGCAGAAGCCAGGACATCCAGCAGTGAATGACGAAGGAGTGGCCAGAAATCTCTGCAAAGTTTTCTCTCATTGAGATCTTCAATGCCTGGCGAGACGTGAAGACTGACACAGTGGTCAACTGCTTCCGCAAGGCAGGCTTCGAGATAGCAGATTTTGCGAAAACCCGTGAAGACGACGACGAGCGCATAAATGACGTGTTTCAAGAGTTGTCGTACCGCTTCCCAGCTGCTGTTCCATACGAAGTGTCTGCGAATGACTTCATGAAAGTGAACTGCAATGTCCAGGCAGTTAAAAGCCTCGCTGACGAGGACATAGTAGCGGCAGTTGCAGAGATCCAGGATGCCCAGGCCGACAGCTCATGTGACGAGGATTGTCTGGACAAGGCTCTGACTAAACGCGCGTACTCCACAGCTGAAATGGCGGCAGCGTTCGGCATTTTTCGCCGTTGTGTCGGGCTTGTGCAGGGAACCGTGTTGTCGCACCTGAACAGCCTTGATAAGATTGAGACTAGCGTTTTTGTTTCAAAAAGGAAGAAGCAGGCCAAGATAAGGGATTTTTTTTTTCACTCAAATAAATCATTCTGTTTCGGCGTGTGTGCGGAATCAATTTTCCTTCTTAAATGTATCTATTGTAGTTGATGATCTGCTACAAGTAAGCTTTTGGGGCCTCTATTTCTTTATATTAAACTTTTTCATATATATCGAACTAATTTACGAGCGCCTTCGTGTTCGATATATCGGTGTTTGACTGTACATCACTAATAATGAACTCGCTAATACAACCTTAATACAATATTCCAATGCACTCGATCATTATAACAGCAAACAAGGTAACACGAAGGCAGCGCACCGTTGATGTTTGACTTGCCGCTAGGGACCCACGTGGTACGACCCGCGGTTGCCACACCCCGGGGGACCCTGTCAGTAGACAACAGTCAAATCCACGTTGCAAAAAGACTCTCCAGTTTTTTCTCTAAAAAGACTCTCCAGTTTTTTCTCTGCAGCCACCTAAAATCGCCACCAAGCATCTCTGCTGGCACCACCGCGCTAACCATTATAGGCCTGTTCGATTTGCTTTGCACTGCTTGTTCCAGTTCCAGTCATGCAGCACCAGTTCAGCAAGTGCATGCCTAGTGAGGAACTAGCTACATATTGAGAATGTCGAAGTGGAGCCTGTGTACCGGCTGTTGCGTGCCTGGCGGCATCATGTTTCTCACTTCTTTGTTGTGTGCCTGCGTGTATTTGAAGGCGTTGGTGTGCAAGCTGTCCAATTTTGTCTAAAAAAGCCATGGACTCCATCGCAACATGTGCAGCAGTGGGGCAAAGTTTTAATAGAACTGCTAAGAGCTCGACGATGTTGTCGCAGTTGTTACGCTGTGGTTGCAACGCAACAGAATTCAAAGGTACTGCGAAGAAGTCATGAGTCAGTACATTGATTTTTTCCTAACGCGTCATCAGGGCGACCAATAGTCAGTGCTGGAAAGACTTGCTTGGTGGTTTTGTGCTACTTCGGTGGATAGTGCAGCATGTGACCCTTGGCCAACCGCTTAAACACTGCTGTGTGGACCATACATAGTTGCGTCGAACCTTGGATTTTATCAACAGCGTCAGTGGGGAAATGATTGCCTGCAGCCAGGCAGGAGCAGGAATGCAGCAAAGCCGGTTTCTGAGCTAAAAGGGGCGGCGTGGGGCCTAAAGCGCCATATGATGCACAAGCGGCGGACATGTGGATATCAAAATGCTGACGGAGTGACCTAACAGCAACACGGTTTCTATCTTTATTCAGTATCGGGGTCAACCTTGTGAGGATGCCGTTTACGGATACACATAATTCGTCTCCTATCATGGCTGTAACAGCACCACCGCTTGTACTCGAGCTGCACTACCTCCAAACTCAGTGTTTTGTCTGAGCTGGCCATGCACGATGCCTACACTTGTTTTAAACGAATGGACCTGTTCAGAGGGCGCCACCTGGCACTACCAAAAGTAATGGTTGAGTGCGGCACCACGAGAATCATTCAAAAAAGGAACACTTGGCGTGATGGACTAGACAGACACAAGTGCAAACTTTTAGCTGAGTTTATTGGACAGACACATGATGCTTTTATGCAATCGCGTTTCGTGGTTACAAAAAAAGGTTTAAAAAAA